TCGGCTACTGGAAAAAAGCTACAACAGCGGGGGCAAGCTCTGTCGAGCTCCCTGCCCAGCTGATCTTTTTAATAAAGAGCTGGACATTAATAAAGGCATAAGCCCTGTTCATTTAACTGGGGGCTCGTCCGGGATAGTCACACCTGAAGAGGACCCCCGGACAGCTGGACAGCTCGACCACCTGCTTTGAGGGACCCTTGGGATTTGCTGACTACCTCCGGACCCTAGGATCAGTGTGAGATGAGCAGCACGAAGGATCAATGTGGAGGGGTGACGGATCGGTGTGAAAAACCGGGAGAGTGAGTGAGTGAGTGAGTGAGTGAGTGAGTGAGTGAGTGAGTGAGAGAGATGGGGGCTGGCAGCTCGGACCCCCAAAGGGAGAGGGACCCTCTAGTACCACGTTTTTTGACTCCTGCAAAGGGGCTGTCCGGGAACGGGGGGAAGCGAGTAGAACAGAGGAATGACTAAGGCGTCTCCCTAGAGGTAAAGTTCCTCCTCTGGGCGTGTGAAGGTTCTCTAGGTGGGCATGTCCCTGGGAGGCAGGACAGGATAACAGGGCAGGTGGGATGTCCCTGACAGGTGGGGCAGGATGTCCTGGCAGGCAGGAGCGACAAGTCCCGCCAGGCAGAGGGCATATCCCCAGCATGCAGGATGGGATAAAAGGGCAGGTGGAATGTCCCTGGCAGGTAGGGCAGGATGTCCCTGACAGGCAAAAACCAAAAATCCCCAGCAGAGCAGGTAGGGGAGATGTCCCTGGAAGACAGGGCAGGATGTCCTTGGCAGAGTAGGTAGGGGCATGTCCTGGCAGGCAATTGGCATGTCCTAGCAGGCAGAGGGCATATCCTGGCAGGCAGGGGGCATGTCCTGGCAGGCAGGCATGAACCTAAGTAAGCAGAAAGCCAAAAAGGCAAGTAAGTAAGCAAATACAGAAGCGGGTAGGAAAGCAAGCAGGCTAAGCCCAATAGGAGAGTTAGGCAGGGTGGGGCTTGGTTGGAGTTTGGGTGTAAGGCTCGGCAGGATGTTCGGCCTTACCTTGGCAGGGAGACCAAGCTTCCTAAGCATAGTAAAAAAGTTGGGCAAAAGGCCAAGTAAGGATTGGGGTGGGACTTAGCAGGGGTCCAAGCCTAGAAAGTCCAGCAAGAAGTCCAAAAACTTAGGCCAAAGAACAAGAGAACAGAAGACAATGGATGTGAATGTGATTAGTGGTTATCCTGGCCAAAAAACAATGTAAAATGTCCAGAGAGTAGTACCAAGAATGCGAGTTTAGTTAAAAGAGATTAAGTTCAGTAAAGAGATTTAAAATACTAAGTTGTGGGAAAGAGCCAGATGAACTTTAGTTGCATATCATTGTATTCCATTTTAGAGAGAGGCACCATTTAAGGTAAATTTTTTTTGTTTTCTTTTTGAGGCCTGAAAATGGGAAGAGGTTATAGCAAAGGAGCGGATCCTTCAAAAGAGAAAGCAAAGAGAATTCCCCCTAGCAACCCCTTGGGGCAATTGTTAGACCAATGGGATTCTTGAGAGGCCACAAAGGGTCTAGACAAGAGTAAGATGATACATTACAATATAGAAGTATGGCCAAAGTTAAAATTACAGGGAGAGTGGCCATGGTATAGAACAGTGGATGTGTCATCAGGTAAACCAAGACCTAGAATGTAGGGAACGCTGGGCTCCGGGATGGCTTAGATGAATGGAGATGAGAGATCTCTGAAGGCTGCTCTTAGAATATCAGGTTTATTAGGGATGATGAAAGGTCTTGCTTGGAGCTGCCAGATGCAGCACATGGCAAGGCCTGAGGGAATGGGGGAGGGGAGAGACAAGGGGTAGAGAGGGTGCTCTAGGAGAGGGTGGAAGTTCTAAGAGGGGGGAAGATCGAAGAGGGTGTCTGGCCCCTCGGAGACCCCTTATCAGGGGGCTTCAAGGTGGGCTGGAACAAGACTTGGGCCAATGGGGTTACACTTGATGCTTAAGGGGAGGGTTACAGGTGTGGGATGAACCATACATTTTGGGGGTTGAGATGGAACAGTCCATTTGACTTTTGGACCTATCTGTAGGTAAGGGTATTGTCCAGCCAGTAGGGGGATTGTTTTTATCCTGGCTGTACTATTGTAAACCTTTTGCCAGGCAATTAGATTTATCCATCCTTTCCAACACTAGAAGCCATAAGAGTATATTTAAGGAGGGAAGAAGAAAAAGCCAAAACTAAAGCTAGAATTATGGTTGCAGTTGCTCGAGAAAGTATAAGAGCAGACAGATCACCAGCACTGCTGTCTAAGTCAAGTTGGAATAGACCAGGGCCATTACCAAAAAAAAAAGTAGAGACCAACCAACATCATCATATGAAACAAATAAGAACTTTAATGAGTTCAGGAAACCTGAGGCTTCACAAGCAACAGGAGGTGCTGTTACTGTGGTGAGATAGGACACCTTAAAAAGAATTGTAAGAAGTTTCAGTTTGATGAGGCAATGCATAAAGAACAAGAAGTCTTAGAACAGACTTCAAGGGGAGGCGACTAGCGGTGTCAGGGGCTCTATAAGTTAAGGGATCCAATGAAGGATCAAGAAGAGCCCTTGGTAAACTTTGAAATAGGTCCCCACTATGAAGATTTTGACTTCTTAGTTGACACAGGGACAGATAACTCCAGCATAAACAAGTTACCAGTAGGAGTCACCATTAGAAAGAAGGTCTGTGAGGTTTTAGGGGCGGAGGGAAGGCCATTTAAAGCATTTATAGCTGAAAATATAGAAATCAAGGGGAATTCTAGACAATGTTTGGCAGACTTTATCTATCTGCCAAATTTAGGAAGTAATCTCTTGGCAAGAGACTTGCAAGTCCAATTGGGAGTAGGGATCATCCCACGAGATGGAAGGATGGTAGTCCAGGTCATGAATTGGCCCACTGGGGAATCCAGGGTTTGTGCAACCATTTTTTACGGGAGAATTTATGTATTAGAGTGTATGACCCAGCAAAGGCAGTCACAAGAGTGTGTGCGATTTGCCTGAAAACTGACCAAAAGGTAATGAGAAAAACAGCACATGGGGGAGGAAAACTGGCTTTAAGACCTTTCCAAAACATACAAAGAGATTTCACTGAAATGCCCTCTGTGCAGAGGTACAAACATTTACTAGTGATTGTAGATCACCTCACTCACCGGGTGGAGGCTTTCCCAACCAAAAAGGAAACAGCGCAAGAAGTTGCAAGAATAATCTTAGAAAACATCATACCTCGATACGGGCTAGTCAATAACATTGACTCGAACCGAGATCCACATTTTGTCACTCAAACTTTGCATCAAGTAACAGAAGCCCTGGGGATAAGGTGGAGATTGCACACACCATGGCATCCTCAAAGCTTGGGAAGAGTAGAAAGGATGAATAAAACTCTTAAAAATGTAATAACCAAATTAATTGAAGAGACAAAAATGAATTGGCTCAAGTGTTAACCTCTCGCTCTCTTGCGCATCAGAACAAGACCTTGGTCCGACATAGGGGTTTCTCCTTATGAAATGATGTTTGGACTCCCTTTTCTAATCACCCCTTTCAGTACTGCAGATGATTTAGAAGGGAGGCAGCAACTCAGAAATATTTTAAAATCATAAGAAAATCCCTAGAAAGCCTCAGAAAGAAGGGGTATCTCCCCCAAACCTCCCCTCTGCATGCCAATGTCCACAACATCAGTCCCGGGGACTGGGTGTTAATAAAGACCTGGAACACCACCACTTCATTAACCCCCAAATTTGAAGGACCTTTCCAGGTGCTACTCACCACACACTACAGTGCAAACCCAAGAAAAAGGCTGGACCACTGTCACCAGAGTAAAAGGACCAGCGCCACCCCAGACACCAGACTAGACCCAACAGGGTCACCCACCTCCTCTTGTGCATAGATGGTAATTAAGGGACCAGAAGACTTGAAATTTACTTTAAAGAAGACTTGCTAGAAACTGATACACAGTAGAGTGTTAATAACTGTTTCTGAGGTAAAGTACCATAGTGAAAGTTTAAATACTTTGTAACCGTTTAATAAGAATAAGTGTCCTTTACCCAAAGAAGTTTAAAAAAAAAATAGTTAAAATATTATTAAGTCTTTGTTTCTAGAGATTAGAAGAATTACCAAAAGAAACTAACCCTCAAAAGCCAGAGACTATAAATTGATGCGGGCTTAAGCCCGATCAAAGAAATAGAGGAGGGATTTGTTATGAACAAAAGAGCCTTCCTGGTTCCCATGGCAATACTGGGACACTGCTGGCTTGAGCTAAGTACTGATATTGAAATGTTAATTAGCTAATTGCTCCTGGGGATCACCTACACCCCCCACCCACACTGCCAT